GCGCAACGACTCAACCCTGGAAAGGCCGATGTGTGTCGGACCGGTTCAGCTTCTTTTACCTATTATTTCTGTTATTGTTGTGGTTGTCGCTGTTGTTGTTGGTATCACTATCAATTTTTGTTCAACTGGTTCCGGAGGCATATTTCGAACCACCGATGTGTTCTTGTACATATATATACACACGCGCACATAAGCCTCTACTGTCACACAGTCAAGTGCCGCTGCAAAAACGTTCCCCTTCTCTTTCCTTGTTGTGACCATGTCCCGAAACTCCATTCATATTTTTTCTTTCTCTTGTGACCGAACTGCAAATCTCGAGTACACCTGCCCCCCCCTTCCCGCGCAATTGTGAGAGTTTTTCCAGATATGTGACCTGCTGACTTGACCTCAGTTCTTTTAGTTTATTATACATCGTCGATAAATTGCACATGTGATTGATGGGTGCACAAGTGCCGGCCGGGGTATGTCAAATGCATGAACACCTATTTTGGCATCCGTTCAAATGTACATACAGACATTGTTCTTCCGTATCACATTTCGTGATTTTAATGATTTTCTGCGGATTGGCACAGTGTGTTGATCGTTGAACAGAATTCAACCGTCTCCACAGGCCTCGAATAGGGAATGTTCTAGCTTCCCCCTCGAAAACTCCGTTTTTGATTGGAACACGTGTAATTTGGCTGCGAGACTGCAAACCGTTTAGGAGATTTAGAGATCATCGTTCTACGAATTACAATTTGGAACTTGGCTGGGAAACTGGAAAAAGGAGATTGGTTGTTTGAACCGGATTGAGAACATGTAATATTCCTGACAATGCAGATTGCACAGTGATCAGATATGCTGGGTGGTGACTATAAGGATAGTTTTTCTGTCACCTTTAGGGTCTCCTGATTGCAGGATTTTTTTATGCTCCAGCTTGGAAGAGGAGAGGAATCTGGTTTGTGAAATCTTCCTTTATACCTCGCCCTTGGCGTCAACTGCTAATAATGGTTTGATGTGATAGACAACTCGTAGCCCCAACAACGAAGCCTGCTATCAACTTTCTGCCAAGAATCACCTAAACAGATGGTTACATACCTGTGTTTCGATTAGTACGGCGATTCATCCCAGCTTCCTGAATAGTAACAGCTATCAAACCCTCAATACTTAGAAATGATTGAAGGCACTACTTTTGAGGGCCTCTTGCCGCACATCACCTGACCACCTTGGAGGGGGAGGCCTTGTCATTTTAAACTATTTTTCACGCCCACTTTGTGAAGCTCCTCGGGAAAGTAAATCTTAGTCTGCCCTTTGCGTGTTTCCCCTGGGTGGAGCCCGGAAGTTCTCGTACTAAGAATTTCATGCACTTTTCTACCGCTGATTCAGGCTGTTTCCCGGTGGTTTATCTATAAACGAATTAGCATATCCGAAATTGAGTACCGTTTATGAACAACACTGCTTATTTCTAACGAACCGCGTAGTTTTCCATAGACAGCATGTGCGACTGCGTTGATTGCAATGGTTTTGTTTGGATGCGGGTCACCCAAATGCGATGAAACGAATCCAATATATGTTCTTGGAGTATCCGGAGCAAGCCGCACTCTTCTATTCAAGGAGCATCACACCCGATTGTCGATGGGGTTTCGCTTGCGTGATGCACACAGCCTAACCGAAGTGTAACCTGGGTTCACGTTTCCAAAATATCCGTCGTGGAGTAGCACATGGTTAACACTTAGATGTATACGTCAAAAGTTTTGTACATAAAAAAAATATCACCGATAATCTTTACCTCTCGTTTTTATTATCACTATTGTTTCATTCTGCGTGACGAACAGTGTATATTTTAACTGAAATGTAAGCATATATGTTAACGAACTAGGACTGTGTATTCCTCAGTGGTGGCGTCAGAATTTATCAGACGACAAGTTGGAATACTTGATGGCTCAACGGAGTTTTCAAAGATAATATGCGATCCTGTAGTTCGGAATTCAACTTGGGAAACCAAATGGTAACAGATCGTTCAATCCGCATCGCACTGCTCGCTACGGATAGTTACTTTTCCTATCAAATATGTTCACCATCATGCTGGTTGTAGAGGATGATGCTGTGTAGGGAACTTCGAGTAATGGATGCCAGTTCAGCCGAGGCCACACGCTTAACGATCACTGTTTCTCATCCGGATGATATTTTCTGGGAGAAAGATTTTTCGATGTGTCGAATGAACCACCTGTTTGGAGTCCAGCCGTTTACAAAATTATTTCGGTCGAAACGAGTGTTAACGGTTCACTAAAAAGTCAAGAGCAGTTGTGTTGGACACAAAAACGGTAATTGAAGACAAAAATCAGTTGAATTGATTTCAAGGAGAGTATAGCTTGGATAGTGTATAGTAGAATGTTTCTCGTTGATGTGTGGGCGATAAAACGTTTGTGGTGCATGCCAATGGACCAGAACAGAATACTAAATCATACTGGTAAAGATTTGCTCCCCAATGCGCCAAGATGATGTGGATACGTCACGAATGACTTTCGAAGCGTAGATTAGGTTTCCACTGGGAAATCTGTTCTCAGAATGAGAACCAGAAAGACGTCCAAGTGGTTGACCCGTGACGTCTTGCGGTGGACACACCACTATGGTCAAGAGCTCTACGCAACCAAATGTGTTCGTCCACTTGCGTTCCTTATTCCAAGATCCGTGCTCAAACAGTCTGGTCTGTTATAAGGGTCCGTTGGGAGGTTTTTCAACGACAGATTTCTCTTGTGTTTCACCTACACAGTTCCCCCTGTCTAAACTCATGGGACTTGTTCGGAAACAGAAAGGGGAGCTAACCGTCGGAACGTCAGGGATCGTGTCACCTGGTCCATCCACCCATATTGACTGGTAACTTGTACAAACACAAACACGATTTTGCTTTGGTGGACGTCCTTGTTATCAACACAATTGTGGACGCTCGTGATCATGATGGCGAATTTCCCGATAAACTGCCATTTTGATTCAAACTGGCGAAAGCAAATGCAGAAGTGGCCTGACAACCGTTCGGACGCTATTTTGATTGGCGGAAAAGCAGCGCGAACTGTACACCACGTGAACTCAAAACCTGCTCCTCATACAGACGGTTGCAACCGGCCAGAGAGAGGGAGAGATTGTCAATTCGGTTGTTTTTAGCCCCGCGGATTACCCGAGAATGCATTCTTACGTGGATCCGTTCCGCTCGTCATTTTTTTGTGATTCGACAGGAATCCATTTGGTTCCCCCATGACAAGGGTTTGACATTTTGTTCAATAGATTCAGTTCCTTTTCCACGTTACTACAAACCCACATGTTAGCTGTGGTCTAACTAAATGGCCCGTGACGGGTACGATTTTGTAGTTTCGATGACAAGTCAAATTGTTTAGGCAAACCACTGGCTGATCTCTTCACTCCGATCGGAAGCCTTCACAGACAACCAGTGACAGGGTGTATGGACCATAGTAGTTTTACATAAATTTTGAACGAGGCAAGTATACTTGATGTGATCTTTTGTGAATATGGTCTCGATGAGAGACCGAATATACACTGGATCGCCATTTACTGGAAAAGAGAACGTAAAGATGTGTCACATCGGGATGCAGCAATATATTATATAAATAAACTATGAGTTTCTCTAGTTCACTTTACTTACCATACTAGTCTGAAGGCATACCAAAATTACATGTACCCTAGGTAAACGGTTTTGGTATTCCCAAGATTTAATTCACCATTCAGAGTTGCGTTGAAGTATAGCTTTTGGGTTCTTGCTGATGTTTCTGTAGTCATCATCGCTGTCAAAAATTCACACAAGTATTGATCCATATAGTGCGATACCCTGATTTGCGTCAAGAGTTGGTGAACTGAGTGAGATGCGAAGATAAATTAGGATTCATTCTTTTTTCGTTCGTGTTATGTTCTTGTAGGTAACCAAGGGAAGAGCAGTAGTTACCTTTTTTCGTCTGATCTGATTTTTGACCAATAAAAATTGAGTATAAAAGCCTCCACAGACCATTCTG